TTTTAAATCAGCATTAATTTGAATACAGTATTTTGAGTACTGTATTTTTAAACTAATGCCATTCAACTTGTTAGGGTCAGAGATGTGATCAGCTGTCCTGGGTAACACTTTGTTCTGAGTAGCAGCTCACCAAGGCAGGAAAGAGGGAAGAGATGATGTGGTGGTCTGTGAAAGCACCAGCCCCCTGCCTCCAGTCAGGTCTGTGCTTGGAGGCCAAACAAGAACAGTGTCTCTTATGATGAAGTGCTAATGCATGGGTTCGTTTGACTGTAGAGCTTTGGGCATGATTTGAATTTGACGTAACTTCATGTGTGCAATGGGGCAGAGAACCCAGACCTTTAATTTGTTAGAGAAATTAGCACTGACCTTGTTAAAACTGCACACTGAAACATGCAATCTGTGCTTTCTCTTACCTCTCACTGCTCTTTTATTTCATTGCAAGTGTGCCTGCATTCAGAGAAGGGAGTCCTCCTTGCTATCAAGGGGGACTTGTCATTGCTGACAAACACTGAATGCCATGAAAGTGCCATTACAGAAGCCATCTCCATCAGAATGGTTTTGTTTCCAGCGTTTAACTTTAGTTTCTTATACTTGGATCTGAATCTGCATTTTGGGGCTTTGCATTTATAACTCCCAGGTCTATTGAACTTGTATACAGAATAACATCACTTTGTTGATCTTCCTTCATCTAAGGTTCTCCGGGCAGATTTATTTCTACAAATGTCACCTCAATCTACAAGGAACTCCAATGAAAGTAACATGTCTACAAGCAGAATTAAATACTGCTGAATATGAGGTCAAGTTACAGAAGAGTTAAAGCAATGAACAGCTACAACACCTTAGTTTTGTCCGAACAAACAGATTCATTTAAAAATAAAACATTTCCTTCCATTTATAAAATTGCCATGGGTTTCAAACTATAGCAAACAGGTTAAATGCTGCTGATATCTTGTAAGCAAAAATAAAATAAAAAAAAAAAAACAACACAACACTCTCTGTAGTTAAGTGTAATGGTCATGATCATTATGCTTCATACATAAAGAAAAATACAGAGAGAAAAAAATATTCAGGAATTCCTGACCATGAGCATTTGCCTTCTGATGTCCATTGGAGGTGCACAAGCCTCCAAAAGAAGAGAAAGAGATACGTTCACTCATAAAGAGAGTTACTGCTATGAGTCGGGCACCTGTATTGAGCATTCAAATCACAGCTATTTTTAAATGGTGATAACAGTACTCATTTTTCAGAGATAAGAAAAACTTCTGACTATACAAGTATTCACCTCTACATACTTCATTCCAAGGAATATAAGGAAAGTAATGTGATTATATATACATTTGGACAATTGAAAAGTACTGAATTTAGGACCAAAACATCATCTAAAAGAAAATAATCCTTACTGAGGATGTTACCTCTTTCCAGTGAGCACAATTCACCACATAAGCGAGTATATTTTTGATGATCCTAAATCAAGCTTCCAATAAGGAAGATTTTTAAAATATTCTTGTGTTGTAACAAAATGTTCCCACTGGTGGTGTAATGAAAGAAAGAAAGAAAGAAAAAGCCCATCTCCTGGCAGGAAATTAATTATTGAGCATTCCACTGCTTGATGATGCACTCCTACATTCTGCGCAGACTTTCCATTTTTTCTCTCTCAGTATGTGGAGAAATTCACTATGGAGAACATACAAACAGAACAAAGGGGTAAAGAGTATCAGTTTATTACATGCATTTAGCAAGCCAAACAGAGCTGGAGCGAGGAGTCCAGTTTGAATATCACCACACCTGGCACTTACTCCCTCTTTATATTCACCTCTTCTCCATCAGATTGCCACTTTGTTCTGTGAAATTACCTCTGTTCAAAATGGAAGAGATGCTCTGAATTTAGCATCACTTACCTGTGACAGGTCAGAACTACCACTTCCTTCACTGCAAAGAAACAGCAAAAAACAAAACAAAACAAACCTGAAAATCTGAGTTCATGATGGAAAAAGACCATCAGCATATGCCCACGGCTAAACATCCAGCCATAACTCCAATTACACAAACAACTTTTCTTCCCTCTACGTCCACTCAGTTTAGCAAATTTCACTACTGTTAATTTTGGCTTTCCTGTGAAAAAAGCTGAGAAAAACATCCATGCTATACTCTCAGCAACCTGTTTTATGCCAAAATATATAGCTCTGAGGCTACTTGTGCCCCCCTGCACACACATCTAGGACACTCCTGAGTTCAGCAGGATCGTAATGCTGCAAAACATCCCCACTACAGCATATCCCAGCAACTGGCATCCTGAGTCCTTCAGCAGCATTTGTGGAGCTATCACAGGGAGAGGGAACACGCAGCAGACTGAAACCACATATGCTGTCTTCAGATAGCATTTCAAATTAGCAGTGCACTACAGCTTAGCTAAGACATGGTGAAAATTTTTTCAAGAGAAATTAATACTTCTAGCTTTCAAAAAAAGAGACAGAAGGAATATGGTAAACTGCTATGGCAGATGGTTGTGTGATGCCTGCAGAAACTTGAATACTGGGTAGGCTTCCTAGGTACTGCTGGCACTGCTCTCATGCCATTGCCACTGTCCCCTTGATTCTTCCACCAAGCTACTGGAGAGGATGGCTCAGGCACAGTGGGATAGAAATGTCTCCATCTGCCTCGTAGACCTAAAAGAGCCCCTGTTAGGCTAGATCCTTGCATCAGCAGGAGATGATCAGAGGTCAGCTTCTATCCCTGCAGCACATATCTCAGTGTTATCATGTACTGTTTATATCTGGAAATATCTTGCTGCTGCCTGCCATCCTCCCCTTACAACATCCTCCCTGTGCATCATGGAGACATCTTGGGTCTATTGACACAACAAGGGATCCCCAGAGACTGTAAGTCATCTCCACAAATGCAACAGCGTCTACTGAAAGGATGCATTCAGGAATAAGACAAATCATAAGCTCTGGCCATCTCATGTGGCCCCACAGGAGCTCTGCAATGCTGCTGCAAACTGCCCCAGCCCCAGCTGGCTTCTCATCCAAAACTCATGATTTTCTAGCACATCAAAACTGTTATTGATTCTGCAGCTGACAACAATATTTGTGGTGATTCAGATCGTATTTTTTGGGAGTATGCATTTTGAATTACAACGCATGAAAAAGTTTAATTACTACATATGAACATAAAGCATATGCTGCCATTTTACAAGAAAGCATGCTGAAGAGAAGCACCATGCTTTGCCACTGGGCTCCAGCATGACAAAAATCACACTCTCCCGAGTATCAGACTCACCATCTGTAACATTTTCCATTTCTAGAAGTTAATGTGAGAGTTATGTGTTACAAATCATATCTGCTGTAAGTGATATATATTATCACTTGCTTTGGAGAAGCAAACCCTAGAACAAATGCCTTTTCTCTCACACTGTAATAGCCCGCAATAGGCAACTTTTTAAAAATCCTGTTCAGTTTTGCATGCAAAGTGTCAACTAAAGTATCTCTGGGAATTTCTCTTATATGGTAAGAGGGGGACAGGAGTTCTTTTCATTAACATAATGTTATTCAAAGGAATTTGCCCTGTAGGATGACGTTTCTCCTACAGGACTATAGGACTTATAGAGATGGCTGTGTGCATCTGTATAAATGTATAAGTTCCAGAGAGGAAAACGAGTTTAACTCCTTCTTACATAAACGACTGGAGAGGCAATGGGAAAAACATGGCAGGTTTGATTTTTTTTTTCTTCATTATTTGTTTTAAGAACAGATTTCTGTTCACTCTCCAAATTGCAACGAGTTAAGGTTTAAACCTATTTTAATCACTAGAGATGACCGCAAGATATCAAATGCAGGGCATCCATGCTAACACAGAGAATCAAAAGAGACAGAACCATGAGTCAGAAATGTAGGATTATATTACAAGGAAAGACTGTCAAAACCCAAGGGGATTTCAACCCAGAATTGCCAGCCCCAGCAACTGGAAATCAGTATTTCAGTAGTTATAAAGATGCAGGTCAGACCCCATCCACATTTAGCTGCAGAGCAGAAAGAATGGCTAATTTGGGTCTTTTTTTTTTTTTTTTCCCCTGATAAATTATACATACTCCATGTCAAATCCAACCAAAAACTAATTTCCAACAACTGCACTGCCTCCGCCAGAAGACAGAGCTCTAATGTCATTATGCAGAAACAGGAAGAGATAATGACCTATAATTCAAGTCTATTATTTCTATGGGACATGAAGACGCATGGCAGCATAATGCCAGCTGTTGACTATGTTTGATGTAACACACCAATCTGAGCATTCTCCCATGCCTATAAACCAAAGACGCCTTTAATTCTCCCATCGGTTTCTGCTAATCACAAAGAGTTTGCTGGTGAGGGGCAACGATAACTTTGGAGGGACTGATACCAACAGCATCCAAGCCCGGGTATTTGCATCCTTTCCACCAGCACAGCCTGTGGCAGAACAGGAGAGTATGTCGGAGATGACTTATCCCAGAGCTCTGCCCACGTTTATTCAACCGTACGCCGGGACAGCCGCCACCTTCCCCTCCGGCTGCGGGGACCCAACAGGGTCTGCGCGGCCCCGGCTGCTCCTCCGCTCTGCCCCCGGCTTTCATCCCACCCGCGGAAGCCGAAGCTCCCGTTAGCGGCGAGGCAGGGCGAGCCCGGCACCGCCTGCTCGGCAGCGAGGGCAGCCGGAGCGTGGAGCCCGTTCCTCGACGGCCCTTCAGGTGCGGTGGGGCCGGGTTCGGCCGCGCCCCTCCGATCCCCCCCAGGCCCGCGGGGCGGCCGCAGCGCTCCGGGGAAAGTTTGCTCCCCTTCCACACGCCGGGCCCCGCACCCTCGCCGCGAGAAGCCGGTGGCCCCCTCCTCCTTCCCGCAGCCGGCGGCCGTGGGGTGGGCTGCGGAGTCCCGAGCACGGGGAAAGACGGGGGGGGGAGGGGGGGAAACGGAGACGAGGAGGAAGAGGAGCGGGGCGGCGTGGGAGGGGTCTCGGGGGTGTTTGTTTACCTTGGAGGTTCTGCACTCGGATGTCGCTGATGTGCCCGATCAGCTCCTCGCGCTGGAACCAATCCCACTCCTGCCCGGCCATGGTGCCGCCGGGCCGGCCCGCTCCGGGCAGGGGGCGGCGGGAGCGGGCGGCACCGCCACCGGCACCGGCACCGTCGGCGGGCGCGGAGCGGAGCGGGAGGGCGGAGAGGGGGGGCGGCTCCTCTCGGCGCTGCGCCCCGCCCCGCGGCACTCCTCCCTCCCTCCCGCCGGCCCCCACCTTCGTCCCCCGGAGCCGCCCCCTGGGGCACCACAGGGCCATTCCGCCCCCCCCCGCGGCCCGAACAAAGAGAGGGTTTTTGCCACATCTGCTGCGTCTGGGGACGCGAGGAGGGTCGTCCCCCGAACACTAGTCCCGAGCCCTCGTCAGAATGGGAAGAAAGAACTCGGAACGGCGGAGGGGTCCGATAGAGAAGGTGAAATAAGCGCCGCTGTCAATTAAAAGCACAGATTTGCTGCTTGTGTGTGCCTTTAGCCTGCTACGCTGCCGACTTTCCTTTGAATTTTCACTCTGAATATCTCCATTCACACCATTCTTCATCCCAAGTGGTAGTTATCGAGGCTTCTCAGCATCACTAAGATGTACTCTACAAACTTCCCGAGCAGCACGAGCACCTCTTTACATACACAGCATTTTGTTACAGCATGCAAACATCTGTAATTTTGTGCCTTTTTCTTCTCAAACCATGAAGAAAGATTGTTTAATGTGAACAGAACAACTTGACACAATCCAGTTGGACTGGTATATTACCACCAGTTAGACTACCAAAACACATGGCTGAGATCTACGAAGTTAAATATAAACAAACTAGGAGCTGAAACTGGGGCTCTTTCAAGCTAGAGGTGTTTTTGCGTATCCCCACACAACCATTCGGACACATGGTGCTCTTCCCACAGCCCCATCAGGTGGATTTTCCATCACCCTTCCAAGTAAGGTGGAGATGGTAAACATAAAGTCATCCAGAGATAGGGGAACTGTTTATTACTGCTGTAACCGGCACCAGTCAGTCATCCCACACCCCAGCCTACAAGCATTGGGGTGGCCCTCAGCTTTATTACTGTTTACACATCCAAGCCCTAAAGTTTTGCACAGATGTAAAGAGGTATGAGTGCCACGACAAAGAGTTTACAAGCCCAAAAGTGAGGAACAGAGGAAACATCGTGTGAAAGGGAAAGTGCAGCTGACTCAGACATATTTGCATGAATCACAGTGCCAGGCTATGGCTTTACATTGCACCAGGACATGCTGGTGTTGCCAGGCTCCCCAGGACTGCTACCAATGTCTGATGGGTGGCCCAGGCTTGGTGTCACTGCATATGGGCACACAGTGGGAGCTGGTGTTCCGGGAGCCCTCTGGACAGCCCATCCAACCTCCAGGAGCCCCCGTGTGTTTTCACAGTTTCCATTTAGAGTCATTAAGTTTGCAAAAGACCTCTAAGATCATCTAGTCCAACCATTAACCCCTTGCCATCGTGCCCACTAAGTCCTGTTCCACTTGCTGCAGGCAGTGTGGGCAGCTGCAGAAATGCAGCTGGTGAGAAGATAAATGGTGAGGAAAAATGAAAAGGTCAAAAACATTTGGCAGTGAAAGGCCCTCATGGAGGTGCAGCAGAAGGAGTAAAGGGCAAGACAAAGCACTAAAGCACACATTCACTGCCAGCTCTGCTCCGTGTGTGATGTTATGGCTCTGATTCACTGCTCTCCACACCTTTTTCTGGGTCTGCTTGACACTTTGCTGCCTTCAGCCCACTCCGCAGGATGGCTGATGGCAATCCCAGTGCACTGCCATCCTCAGGCCAGTTAGCAGCTGGCTATGACTTGCACAGCTCAGATCTCAGGTCAGGCTTTGTTTAAGGTGTTGTAAATGACTAACAACACGGCACAAGGAAGTTTAAATTCCTGGTGAGGGGGAAGAGAAAGGCTATTAAAACATTTTTTACACAGGAAAGCACCTGCTCTGTGCACTGTTGTCCTCCGACAGAGAAAAACACAGCCAAATGGCAGCAGTTAGAGTTGTCTGGCAGGTAGCACTGCCTGGGCTGCACACTCATAAGCACATTCATATAAGCTGCATCAACTCCATCTTACATGAGTTTGAGACACTGACATTGAAAAGTCTCACCCAACAGAGTGCAGCACTGTTTGGGAAGGCAGCAGCCTGATTTTGCCCATCCCACCTTGCCAGACAGCTCCCCAGCACTTTCCCCAGATCAGCTTGAAGCCTTCACTGGTAGAACCTCCACTGGTTCTGCAATATTTGCAGAACCAAATACTCCAAAATTAAAAACTAACCTCTGAAATTGTAAGGACGCTAACATTTGTGAGGTGAAAAGGGGCATTCTTTATGATATGCTTTTTTCTTTAAGCTTTGATTTTATTTAAGTTCTTCCCTGTAAACGTGTGGTCTGTGAATCAGCTCCGGAAGAAAGTATGAAATCTGAGATTCTCACATAAAGATAGATCTCCAAGCATTATGTTACTTATGCTACTTGTCCTAAAATCTGTAAATGCTTGTGGGAAATTATCTGTGAAAACATTATACGCCTACTAAAAAGTAACTGATTATATACAGTGAGGAGTAAAGAACTTCTCTTGAAAAAAAGTGATTTCAGACTCTATTATTAAAGTTCACCTGCCTTTTGATGTTTCAGGACCATCCTATAACTGAAAAAGCAGGTTACATTTAATTAAGTCCCCTGGCTCAGGCTCGTTACTCAGGGCAACACTGTAAACAGTTGGCAGGAACAGAACTATAAGAACAGGTTTATTAAAACAAGATCTTGGTCACATATGAGAAGGCAGGGAATATACAGGAAGTTCATGGGCAACTTATCACTCTTCTACATCACTTCCATTTTTTTTATTTTTAGTGTATGCAGGAGGAAAATATTAAAAAACTTTGTTTACCATCTGCATTTGGTTCCTTTGCATATCTTACTTGTGAGTGATTTAATGAGTTGAATTCTCGGTTTGAGAGGAAAAATTATACTTGAAGATTGTCTGATAGTAACAACAAAACCTCCAAATCCTACAGCTAGGTTTTGTGCCTGTCCAGAACAACAGTGCTTTGTGGCTCCTGCTAAAATCACAAGTGAAGGTGCCTCCACAAAGGGAACTATAGATATATTTATGTGATTGTAGCTAAACTGCCTTGGTTTATAAACAGAGTTCCTAAATGAACACTCAGTTCATGAATGGATTATTTTCTGGCACTGTGTAAACCTGTTCCAGGCCAACGATAACCAGAAAAAGATGTTGTCTTTCTTGAAAAAGGCACTTCCATGTGTGGACGTATGCTTACCCCAGGCCTCAGAGGAGTGTAACTTCCGAGACAAGCATGCTCTAGCTGTCACTCACTGCCCTTGTCAAATAGCTAAAGAGTATGGCCATAACTATCCCTGCTAGACCTCCCTCTGGCTACACTTCCCAATGTCCTTGTTGTACTCTGCAGGCCTGCAAGGAGCTCCTCTGCTTGAGACAAATACAGCATGGGAATACAGTGGGCATCTTGGTCCCACTGGCACAGCCCTGGAGTCTTTGCACGCCCTTATAGCTCCTTAGCAGGGCTACAGAGAAGGTGAGGATCTTGTTCAGTTCTTAATCTATTAAGCTTTTTCAATGTCTTCCTGGACAAAGAGTAAACCTAGAGGCTTTCTTATCCTATTGCTCAATGAGGAAAAGGCAGGAAAGTTAGAGCCTGAAACCTTCAACCAAAAGCAATACAAACTACAATTTGACTCTCGCATCTTACACTTACAGTACAACCTGACCTGAATGGTGACTCCATTTCAAAGCAATAAGTATGCCACCATAGATCTCATCAACACTTCATTTTTCTTGTTTAGCCCGTATCTGAAACACCAAGGAGTGCCAACCATGAGAAAAGATTCATTAACTGTGCCAGATGAATTGCTAAGCAAAGATTTTGCTTTTATTACCCTGTCCAACAGCAACCCTCAGCCTGGCTCTGCTACCCACACACATGTAAACACTGGGAGGGGTACCATGTAAAGTAGACATTCAAAGCAAAACACAAGAAAAGTCCGGAGAAAAAAGACAGTCAAATTTAACAAAGTAGGTAGAAGATGCTCAAGAAAGGGTGCAAAAGGATCGAGAGAGACTGTATTAGGAAGATTAAGCAAATGGAGGAAGTGAGTTTATGCACACACACACAAAAAAGCTATAAAATGTAAGTGCCTTAGGAGTAAGTGCTCTTTGAAGGTAAGAAAGGCTGCAGTAAAATGAGTGTTGTACTCCTCCAACAAAGTTTGGTAGCAAACAATGAATCATTAGCAAAATTGATATAATCAATAAAATGAATACCAGCTTTGAAAGACGAGTGCAGTGACCCACTAAAACAGTGCCAATCTTGATGCCTTTCAGCTGCTAACAGAGGACGAGGTGCAGTGACTGTTGGCCCTGTCTCAATGCTGCTGAGAATGTGAACAAACTCTGGTGTGTCTCCTCTTTTCTTGACTTCTAGAAATCCCTTTGGCCACACTGATGAGCCACAGTGTTTCACATAAACAGCTGCAACCTAATGGTAATAAATAGATTACAAGGTCTTCTAAAAGGTTTCTATGTGCTGTAAATAAGTTCTGATACACACTGCTAACCTGGATGGGTTCATCTGAATTTATATTATTTGCTTGCTGCAAAGGTGAGGTTTTGTATGTACCAATGTAGGAGCAAAATGCACTTTCCAGCAAGCAGTATTATTTCAAGGCTGGGTCTTTTGGAGTGGTGGTGTCCTACCAGGGAGATCACACTGTGGAGCTGTGGAGTGAGATCCTTGTGATTGTGCACTGGAGTAGCTAGTACGGTAGAATTGGGGTTGTATGGGTCACTCCTTTCTCTTCTGCTGCTTTTTTTTTTTTTTTTCCTTGATGAATGTGGTCTATTTTAAGGTAGGATTTATTGAGAACATGCATCTCTACTTGACGGAGGCAATAGGAGAGGTCCTTCCCTGGCCTGCAGGCTAGTTTTCTTACAGTCAGTTTGGTTTTCTGCCATTCTTTCAGGCAGTCTGAAGGCTGGAAGAAAAGGAGGGTAGTTATGTAAAACTCATTTGAAAATTATGCACTTGCAGAACTGATTTGTTTCTGTTGCCATGGCCCTTTTGTTCAAAATCTTCCCTTTCACTAGGACAAAACCCTCCCTTGATTCAGAGAGTACTTGGCAGCCAAAGCTCCATATAGTCTTTGGAAACTTGTTCTTTATTTTTCATTTTTTTTCCTGTTTCTTCCTATTATTTTTCCTGTTTCTGGTGGTTGCAGGAGGCAGTTGGTCTCATCCCTGTGATAGTACAGTGTAATTCTTCCTCTTTGGGATTCATTTGCTCTCAGTTCTGTATGTGATCGACTGA